AAGGGAAAAAAAAAAACAAAGAAAGAAAAATCTAAAGAAGGAAATTTTTTTCATGATACATGGATATTTAGAGCGTAGTTTTACCCAAATTATGATACGAAGATAAGTGGGGCAGTCAAGTGTAATTTTGCCAAGAGCAAGAGGATGGCGTATAAAGCAACACGGTAATGCACGGCAAGGGACGACTTTGACCAGTTGACTTCAATGGCCCACGTGATGTAGAAATATGAAGGAGGGTATGGAGTTTCCAAAAGTAAAATCCATTTTCATAAAAGCTTTTCCATGCTTATATATCCCTTGCCTTTTTATTTCCTCAATTCTTTTTGTGCTTAAATATTCTTCATTTTTCTGTTTACCAATGGAATGCCCATCCTTTTTCTATGCTTAAATTGGGTTACATTATACTGTTGCTTAATATAAGAACTAATTTGATTTCCAATTTGGTTCTAAATATAATATCTCAATTCACTTTGTCTTTCATATTTATTTATTTTTTTAAGATAGTTATTATAGTAGTTGCACATGTTAAATGTTTTATCAAATAACTATCCTAGCTAATTCACATGATTAGTAAGAGTATTTTAGAAAAGATAACACTTGTTTATTATAAATAATTAATTTAATTAATTTTTTAATCTATTTAAATTATTAATTAATTTTTATGTCAAAGACCTGGCTATTATATAATTATTCTATTATTGAGCTTAAAATTCTTCTATTATGATACCCAGTCCTCTAGGGCATAACATTTTCCAAAAGATTAGGGGTGGGGCGGGACAACAAATGTTCGTTATACAATGAATCAACCCAACAATTCACAAAACTCAAACGCTGGATGACTTGACTTGGCTTCTTGACCCCAGAAGCAGGAATGATAGAGCAGGTAAGAGGTAATGAGTACCAAAAAGTGATGCCTTAAAATAGCCAATCTATTCCTTTAATCCAAAAAAAAAAAGCATACGTTAATAACCTGAGATTTTAGCTGAGATCAAATTCATAATCTTTAACATATACAGAAATTTTAATACCACTAAGTTAGAAAGTCATTAAAAACATTATTTAAATTATCTAATTAATTTTTATGTCAAAGACCTGGCTATTATATAATTGTTCTATTATTGAGCTTAAAATTCTTCTATTATGATACTCAGTCCTCAAGGGCATAACATTTTCCAAAAGATAAGGGGTGGGGCGGGACAACAAATGTTCGTTATACAATGAATCAACCCAGCAATTCACAAAACTCAAACGCTGGATGACTTGACTTGGCTTCTTGACCCCAGAAGCAGGAATGATAGAGCAGGTAAGAGGTAATGAGTACCAAAAAGTGATGCCTTAAAATAGCCAATCTATTCCTTTAATCCAAAAAAAAAAAAGCATACGTTAATGACCTGAGATTTTAGCTGAGATCAAATTCATAATCTTTAACATATACAGAAATTTTAATACCAGTAAGTTAGAAAGTCATTAAAAACATTATTTAAATTATCTAATTAATTTTTATGTCAAAGACCTGGCTATTATATAATTGTTTTATTATTGAGCTTAAAATTCTTCTATTATGATACTCAGCCCTCTAGGGCATAACATTTTCCAAAAGATAAGGGGTGGGGCGGGACAACAAATGTTCGTTATACAATGAATCAACCCAGCAATTCACAAAACTCAAACGCTGGATGACTTGACTTGGCTTCTTGACCCCAGAAGCAGGAATGATAGAGCAGGTAAGAGGTAATGAGTACCAAAAGTGATGCCTTAAAATAGCCAATCTATTCCTTTAATCCAAAAAAAAAAAAAGCATACGTTAATAACCTGAGATTTTAGCTGAGATCAAATTCATAATCTTTAACATATACAGAAATTTTAATACCAGTAAGTTAGAAAGTCATTAAAAACATTATTTAAATTATCTAACTAATTTTTATGTCAAAGACCTGGCTATTATATAATTGTTCTATTATTGAGCTTAAAATTCTTCTATTATGATACTCAGCCCTCTAGGGCATAACATTTTCCAAAAGATAAGGGGTGGGGCGGGACAACAAATGTTCGTTATACAATGAATCAACCCAGCAATTCACAAAACTCAAACGCTGGATGACTTGACTTGGCTTCTTGACCCCAGAAGCAGGAATGATAGAGCAGGTAAGAGGTAATGAGTACCAAAAAGTGATGCCTTAAAATAGCCAATCTATTGCTTTAATCCAAAAAAAAAAAAGCATACGTTAATAACCTGAGATTTTAGCTGAGATCAAATTCATAATCTTTAACATATACAGAAATTTTAATACCACTAAGTTAGAAAGTCATTAAAAACATTATTTAAATTATCTAACTAATTTTTATGTCAAAGACCTGGCTATTATATAATTGTTCTATTATTGAGCTTAAAATTCTTCTATTATGATACTCAGCCCTCTAGGGCATAACATTTTCCAAAAGATAAGGGGTGGGGCGGGACAACAAATGTTCGTTATACAATGAATCAACCCAGCAATTCACAAAACTCAAACGCTGGATGACTTGACTTGGCTTCTTGACCCCAGAAGCAGGAATGATAGAGCAGGTAAGAGGTAATGAGTACCAAAAAGTGATGCCTTAAAATAGCCAATCTATTCCTTTAATCCAAAAAAAAAAAGCATAAGTTAATAACCTGAGATTTTAGCTGAGATCAAATTCATAATCTTTAACATATACAGAAATTTTAATACCACTAAGTTAGAAAGTCATTAAAAACATTATGTATGCAAAAGGATATGAAAGATGGAAAATTTCCGTACTCTTTATAATTTAAGACCCATATCCTATTTTTTCCCCAAAAAAAAAAGTTGATCTCATTTTCGTTTTTATTTCCTCAATTCTTTTTACGTTTCCGGTTAAAAAATCGTATTATGCTTAAATATTTTTTAAATTTTTTATTCACCTGTAGAAAAAACCCACCCTTTTCGATTTTAGAGTACGCGATCTTCTCCTTGGTCTTTCAATGCATTTTCCAATGGAATTTTAACAGAGGAAACTTGAAAAAGAAAATGAAAGAAATTTAAAAAAAAAAAACATTTTTCCAATTTTTTTAAAGAAAAATATAGATACCTAATAAAAATCGGAAAAATATAAATGTCAGCAAAATGGGTTTTTATTTTTAATCTTTGGTGTAAGACAAAACATATATGTATGAATTGCCTTCTCAATATTACTTTTTTTTTTCCCCAGAAAAGATCTCACCATTGTCATTCCTCATAATCTTTTTTTTTTTTTGACAAAATCATTCCTCATAATCAGGCCTAGCTATTAGAGCCATGGCCCCATATGCATGTCTGCCCCTTTTATTTTTAAAGAAAATCATTTTACAGATGGCTATGCTATTTTCAATTTGTTATCTCTACAGTTTTTTGGCGCCTTATTTTTAAAAATTGAGAAAAATATGGATATATGTAAAATAATTTTCCTTGTTTTTGGGACTGATCTTAAATTTATCAAGGAAGGAAAAGAAAAGAAAATTGAAGGGAATATGTGCAAAGAAACTTTTTGTAAAGTTGCTCAAGTCCCAACAATGCAACACCGCAACGGAACTAGTTTCGGTACTTATCACTTTGATGAGTATTCTAAACTCATTAAATCTGGACCATTTATATCTGATTTGAATGTTTCATATTTGAAAATTTTAATTAATTCTTTTAAATAGAAAAGACTTTTTTTATAAAAAAAAAATGATAGTTCAGAGATTATCTTTATTTTAGATTTCATCATTATTAAAATAATTTTCTAAAACAAATAAAAGTAAAAAAGAAATCAAATCTTAACCATCCAAACTAAATATGAATAATCTAAATCTGATGAGTTTAAGGGCAATAAGTACCAAAACTGGTTCCACACGGCAACACCATTGACATGGGAGCTTCCCGAAAACTAGAATAACAACCTCTGAAACATAGATAAATACATGTGAGTGAGGCATTTGGTGATATTGAATCCGAACTGAAGAGCTTGTTTCAAGAGAAAGCAAGTCTGCAAGTTCTGAAACTACCATTTTGTGAGAGCGCAGCTATTTGTTTCGCTTTCCTGCACATCCATCCAGGTTCATTTCTTCTCTTTCATTTGCTCTGTCCCATGGATCCATTGCTCCTTCTACTGTTTTCCCTGCACTTTTCCCTGGAATTTTCGTAGAAAAATTCCGCAAAAGATTTTCTCTTTCCTTCTCCTAGTGTTGGCTGGTGATTGATTCTCCTCCATAGCTACCTTACAGTCGTAGATCTAATAAAACTTCAACATTTAGAATCTTTTATAATTTAACTTCTGAAAAACAAAGCCCCAGAACCTTCTAAGATATGGGTGGACTTGATCTATAGATTAAAGTCTTCATCTATTTTATTCAAACTTTTTTTAATGAAGTAAAAGACCCATTTATTTATTTTATTAAAAAGCAAAGTGCTTGTTCTTCCTTTCACCTGAATCACTCGGTCTTTTCCTTGTTACGCGTGAAAAAGACATCTATATAAATGAACTGGGCATATTCTGTTTTCTCATGATCCGCTTGCTTGGTACCGTTTTGTTTTTCACAGAAAACAAACATATATTAATATATATCAATTTATTCAGTCCAACCAAAAAAAAAAGGATGAAAGTAATTTAGTATTTGAACTAATAAAATTTCTTGCAACGAGATTTTTAGAGTTCAAATTAATTTGATCATTTTAAGCAATTTTTTGTATTTAATTCAGGTGGGACTTTAATATAAGTTTCCCAAGAAATTAACACACGGCCTCATTCGCCTTCAACACGTGTATTTTTACTCACTGTATTTAATTGAGGTTCTTCATTTTCGCATCAATCGTTCCGTAACTTGTTCCCACTTCCTAGATATTTTGTTTGATGCTTTTATGGCGTTAATCAAGAGCCAAACCACGGCACCTCCTGAGAAGTTAAAGCCAAAAAATATTACTTTATCACGTTAGTTTCGGGTTGGTGAGAAGTTTCAGGTTAAAGCAAGAGATTACAGTCACATGGATGCAACCTTTGCTTTAATGCTTATAGAAGCTGTCTTGATTTTGCTGGCTATAGCAATTTCTAAAGCTGTCAGATTAATCTCTCCACCTCATGATAGGTAACATGTTCTTTAAATGTTCACTTTATATGGTTTGCTGATAGACCAATATGTATTATTCGTGAAGATTTCTTTCCATCTGTAGTTGTAAAGATGTTGGTGATTCGATTCCCATGGTTTCTTCTCCTTCTTGTATTATTGTTTCTCCTCCTGCAATCAAGTATGACGTGTTTCTTAGCTTTAGAGGGGAAGAAACTCGTCACACTTTCTCAAGTTATCTCTATGAAGCACTTCGCCGAGTGGGCGTTCATACTTTTATGGATCACAAGCTCGACAAAGGAGATCATATCTCACCGATCCTTCTGAAAACAATAGAGGAATCACAGATATCTTTAATCATTTTCTCTGAAGATTATGCTTCTTCAACATGGTGTATGAATGAGCTCGTTCACATTATGAAATGTAAGGATAAGTACGGAAGGCTAGTCATCCCAATTTTCTACAACATAGATCCATCAAATATTCGGAAACAGAATGGAAGATTTGGAGATGGATTTGCTGAGATCAAGCAGAGATTTAACCACGACCAAAAAGGAGTGTAGGAGTGGGAAAATGCTTTGATCAAATCAGCAAGTCTATCTGGGTGGGATTCAAAGAATTTCAGGTAGCTTTTATTCTACTCATGATGCTCTTATTTTCTTTCCTAAATTTGGGCATTAAACATAACCATTATTTTAATTTATATTTATGCTAGGCCTGAACCCGAACTTGTCAAAAAAATTGTCAAAGATGTTTTGAGCAAATTGAACCGCAAGTCATCCATTCACATGGAAGGCTTAGTCGGGATCAATCATCAGATTCAAAAAGTTGAAGAGTTATTAAGTGAAGCTCGCATTGTGGGAATATGGGGTATGGGCGGTATTGGCAAGACCACTCTTGCTAGGGCTGTATTTGACAGATTGGAGCTAGAGTTTGAAGCTCTCTGCTTTGCTAAAGATGTGAGACAACAGCTGGCGGAAAGGAATGGATTGGATGAATTGCAAAAAAAATTCCTTAAGGATTTATTAATAGATGACGATATTAATGCTTACGATTTAAGATCCGCTTCTATAAGAACGAGGCTTCAGCGTAAAAAAATTCTTCTAGTACTTGATGATGTGGACAATTCTATAACGGCTGAAGATTTAATCAAAGCTGTTGTTGGTTTGGGGAAGGAAGTAGAATTATTATCACATCAAGAGATATGCAAGTGCTTAAAAATACTTATGCTTCCGCATCTCTAGCAACATATCATGTTCCGGAATTGGATCCGCATCATTCCCTTAATCTCTTTAGTTTGAACGCTTTCAAGCAAAATCAACCTTTTGAAAACTACTTGGAGTTATCAAAGTGGGTAGTGGATCATTGTGAAGGAAATCCATTAGCTCTGAAAGTGTTGGGTCGCCATCTTTATAGTAGAGGAAAAGAAGAGTGGGAAAGTGCTCTGGCGAAACTAAATCAAACTCCTCACAATGACATTTTTAATGTGCTCAAATTGAGTTTTGATGGACTTGATGACACACAGAAGGATGTATTTCTTGATCTTGCATTTTTGGTGAGTGCAGTAGAGTCAATTTCTGTGGATTGTGCAAGACGCTTATGTGGTGATGTTGCAACTATTCAGATAAGTGAACTTGGAGAGAGATCCCTCATTTCAGTGGATACATATGGTGAAATTCAGATGCATGCTTTACTAATCTATATGGGTCTTGAGATTTCTAAGCAACAATTAAAATCTAATCTTGACAATCCCATTCGGCTGTGGAGGCACGAGGATATTTATCGTTATTTTTCTATCAATGGCAAGGTAATAATTTATCTTTTAGATTTTATTATATTTTTTATTCTCTTAACGTTTCATTATGTTGTCATTTATTTTCCTAAAAGTTATTTTTTTATTCATCAAAATCTTCAGTAACTGTCAATGTTTGCCGAATCAGCCCCCCCTTTTTTTTTTTTAATGAAAGAAGTCCTTTAAAATCGGCTGGGGTCATAGTCTTTCTATTAGATGTGGTTCATTATATTAATCTTCTCAAACTTTTGAAATATTCGTTTTCTTGAAGTTTTGAGATCGAATATGACCTCCCCCCCCAATTTACAGCATGAATGATCTTCAATAAATTATAAAATTATCCACAAAGGTTGACCTTTTTTTATAGAGTAAAATACTTTAACCTCCCTTACATTTTGTCTTAATTATATAGACTTCTCCTCTAGTTTGAAAACATACACTTAAATCTAAATTGTTAACTCCGTTAAGAATATTTTAAAAAGATGTTTTTTTAATTCAAATTTGTCTTGAAATACTTTCTATTTGCTAAATTACCCTTCATAATACTAAATCCCAAAATCTTGGTTAAAACTATATTCAAGAATTTAAGATTTTCTCCTTTACCTTAATTTTATTTTTTTTATTTTTAAAAATTGCTGTTTGTTTAATGTTTTTATCTTATTGGGCCAAAAAATTAAATAATTTAGTTAATACAAACATAAATTTAAATGATTTAAGTAAGTTTCCAAACTCGAATAATTTATATGATGTGATAAGAAAATAATCATTCAAAATATTTTCTAACCATTTAACAAATATCTTAAGTTTCAATATTTCATGAGAAACTAAAATTATATAATTTTATAATATAATTCAAATTAAAAATTTTGAAAATACATATATTATAATTATTTTTTATTGTATCAAAAATTATTTTTTTATAAATATAAATGTTTAAATAACATTTATGTTAAAGAGGGATATTTTAGTCAAAATAAAAATTTAAAAGTCCAACTTAACGGTCAACTAACGGTTGGGTGGATGAAAATTAAATTTTAAAAATATAAGAGAAGTTTGTGTAACATACATTTCAATTTGGAGGAAAACTTATATACATTTTCAAAATAAAAAGGAGGTTTCTGTAATTTAAGTAAAATAGAGACGTACTCAATGTATTTTACTCTTTTTTATATTAATTGATCACTGATGTAGTATGAAAGTGATTGGGTGTACACTCACACACTGCACATGCATATACTCTCACCCTCACGCGTTTTCTTATAAAAATTTAATTTACTTCTTATGAAATCTGAACAATTTTATATATGCCGGGGGGTTTTATGTGCACTAGTTTTTCTTTAAGAAGTAGCAATTATATGAAGGGTTAATATAACTCTTGGACCTTCGAATTTGCACTAATTTTTATTTTAATTCCTCGAGTTTTGAATAATGGGTTTTGGACTTTTAAAGAGCAAAATGTTTTAATTTTTTGTTAAATTATAGGAGGCAAATGTTTTAGATGGAAATAAACTTGAGAGATCAAAACTTATTATTTGAAATTTGAGGGATTTAAAACTAAAATGAAAAGAAACTTGAGGGAATAAAAATTATGTTAATCCTTATATGGAATATAAACATGTGCATGTAAGCCTGTTTGTATGATTGTACCCACCATCCTGCTATTGTATTTGTTTTGTCCAATTTATTTAGTGCAAGATAAAATGAATTGTTTGAATAAAGTGCTCAAAAGCCTATTCATTTAGAAATTTCTAAAACAAATGTATTTAATTGTTCTATTTATTATTTGATCACCTTTGACCTTTTTTATTCCCCCTCCCCCTTTTGCCTGAGATCACCTTTGACATATTATGTATTTTTTTCCACAGTTTGATCAGTAGGTGGCTGAGGCAATTCAATGCTAATGATCCTTAGACATGAGGAAGATAAATTACATGAAAAACGAGTAATTTTCAGAAGAATTATATTTTAAAACTGGCTAGGACTTTTGTGATAAGTGTTATTCTTTAAGATAAAATTAGTCCAAAAAGAATTTTCATTAAGCGATACGTGCATGCGCAGTGTGAGCATAACTAACTGATATTTGAAGTCCAATTTGAAAATCGAAAACAAATAACTTGTCGCCTTTGTAGTTATACTATAAATATGTGCGCATGCATATAGGTATACCGTATACGCATCGGTGTGTCAACGTATTTATGATTTTTGAGAAATTCATATATTAAGGGAAAAAACATGAATTGTAAGGAATTTTGACAAAAATGCATATAGTTGTTAATTTGGATATTTTTAAAAGTTGATATATTTAATTATTCTATGGTTTTTATGGTCATCTTTTTACGTAAGATAATTGTGTTTGCCTTGATTTGATACTATTACCAGACGATTGAGGCAATTTGATGCATGTCATTAGATGCAAGCAAGATAGAAAGCATTACATTGAGGGCAAGTCATTTTCGAAGGATGCATTATCTAATGTTCCTTAAAATTTACAAGTCAGATTGGGAAAAGCCTTCAAAGTTGAGTATTTGTGAAGGTTTGGATTATCTTTCAAAAGAATTAAGATTTCTTCATTGGGAAGGATATCCACTACCATCTGTGCCGTTACAATTTTGTGCTGAGAATCTCATCGAACTTAAGTTGCCAGACAGTAATATCCAACAGCTTTGGGATCAGGTATGCATAGTTTTTCATATGTCATAATTTTTTTTTTGGTTGTGATTTTAAGAAACATTGACTAAAATAATTCACAATGCAAACTTTTGCTCTATTACTGTCTTTAAACTGATGGTTGAGTAGTAATTGTACCATTTGCGGGGAGTCCAACTGATCTTGTAATGGGCATTAGAAAAATTCTTGAGTAAATTGTACATACGTGTAGTCATGTAATTTATTTAACACTATTACTTTGCTTTTTTTTCCCTCCAGCAATTTCCAAATCTAAAGGAAATAAATCTATGGGATTCAAAAAATATCAGGGCACTCCCAGATTTGTCTCAAGCCCCTAAGATTAAAACTTTGCGCCTTGATGGTTGTGTGAATTTGGGTCAAATCCATTTTTCGACTGTCCCGGAACAGAATGTCGATTTATGTATAGAAGATAGTGGGCCGATGCAGATAAATGTTGGGGGCAGTATGAAAGGGAGAAATTCATCAGGGTTAGTGATTGTGCACAATTATTTGGATGTTCCCAATTTGACATTCAATAAAGTGACAATGAAGGTGTTGGTATGTGGCAAGATGACGTGTGGTGCTGGATTTAAGCATGAAAGAATGCCATTGGTAGAGACGGCAGAATTCATGAGAATGGGAATACAAAGTTTGGCGACTTTACTTCCATTTGTGAGGATATATAATTGAATGGTTAGAGGGTCCAATTGATTTTGGGCATGATTTCAACCAACATCATGCCTCTGATGTTCATAATGATTACGATGCTGTTGTTCTCCGCTATCATAGCTTGAGTCTTTCTGTAAAGGTGAGGGGTGATGGAGAAGAAAGGGGTGTGGAAGATGATGAAAAAGAGGATGAGGATGATAGAGAAATGATCAGTGAGAATGAAAGAGAAATGAGTAGTAAAAGTGATCAAGTAGTAGAGATGACATTATCATTAATGCAAGATGAACAAGAAGGTGCCGATGAGCATGATAGTAAGAGGGACCACACATTATTAACAATACTACTTATTCCTAACAGCATCCCTCGCTGGTCATTATTGAGGAGAGTGACATTAAAAGAGAGTGATATTATTATTAGGAATAATAATACAGGTTGTAGCATCATCCCCTCAAGCTTCAATATTCCACAAATCACTTAAAGAACATTGCAGAAGGATTCAGCCTCTATTGGCGGTACAATTCTCTTCCCCAATATCCCCTTTACCTCATCGTTCTTTCAATGTCTATTATAACTACTTGGAGAGCACGCCACCACATCGTCCTTTTTTTTGCTTCCGCTATGGTTCAGATAGTGATGTCAATAATTGTCGCTTAGTTTACTTTGAGAAGCGATGCTAATGATATCAATTATCATTTAAATTTCTCAGGCCATAAAATTATTATTTGAATCAGTCTCATTTATTTTTTTATTGCATATTAATATTATGTTTTTATGAAATATTAATTTTTCTGTTTTTTCATATGTAATTCACGGAGGCCCTCCTCACAACTTTATAACATAAAAGTTGTTAATCTCATTTTGGCTTCACAATAACTGCATTTTTTTGCGTATGTTACTTTCCATGTGATGTGAATATGATAACCAGCGTGACAAACAATTTCCTTACTAAGCAATTTTATTATTGGGAATTAGAATAATAAAATGTATCTGCTTGACTGACCAATCATTCCGAGTTGATCGTAGTTAACGGGCACTGTGGTCATTTACACCTTTTTTTAAAAAAAAAAATTCTATTTATACTTGGTTTTCTCACCTCAGATCTGATGGTAAATTTCCCTTCACATTATGTGACATCAAGGATATATATATTTTTAAAGTGTGATTCATAGAGTACTTCCTCACAACTTTGGAAACTAGAAATTATTAATCTTAATGTTGCTTTGTTTTATTTTTCGTTATTTTTCTCGTGTGTATTTTGTATAACTTATTTATAAATAAGTGGAGAAATAATTTTCCACTACGGAGCAATTTCCTTGGAATTATTCATTATTCACCATATATAGAGTACCATGTAACTTGTACTATGATATCTATCATTTTTCAACAATAACAAAATAATTTTTTTTTCATACTCACACACTGCACATGCATACTCACGTGTTTTCATGATAAAAGTTTAATATTGCAAAAAATTACAAATTATTAAATTTGAACATAAAAAGAAAACTTTTAAAAATGTTATATATGCTGGGGGTTTTATATGCACTAGTTTTTCCTTAGGAAGCAGCAATTATATGAAATACTAACTTTGGTCCTTAATATAACATTCAAATGATTAATTTAGAAAAATTAAGGAAGTTATTAAATTATTTTAAAATATTTATATTTATTTTTTTTCAAATTAATTTGCCTCACTTACGAATTGATATATATAATCTAATAATACATATAAGTATTTTAAAGAGATCATGTAATATATGCTATAATTAAGTAATTTAGTAAATTTTTTAATTCGTCCAAACTAATCAATTGGGTCTTAATATCGGAGATAATACAAACATGTGCATGCAAGCCCTTCGTATGATTGTCCCCGCTTGCCTATGTGAGTTTTTGTTTCGTCCAAATTATTATTTGTTGGAAGGTAATTTAATTTTTATATTTATTATCTTGTCACTTTTTACATATTGCTAGTTTTTTCCCTCATAATTTGATCACTAGGCGCATGAGGCAATTCAATGATTATCATTAGACATGAGCAAGATAGAGATGATTACATTAACAATTATTAATTTTCAGAAGATTTATAATTTAAAATTAGCTAGGACTTTTGTAAGATGTGTTACTCCTATTTTAGAAGATAAAATTAGTCTAAGAAGAATTTTCATCAAGCGATATATGCCTATGCATGTGTGAGCATAACTTAATGTTATTTGAAACAAAATATGTGAAAATTGACGACAAATATAATATATGAAGGAGGCACTGTACGTCTTCCGCCGGAAGTTTCGAACCCTTTAATTCTAGTTCTTGAGATCCATGGGATGCTCCTTTTTTGATGTCTTGTAATTGATCGTGTCGTTAGTCTTTAGCTCAAGCGTTTGTTTAATTAAAATTTTGTGTAAGCCAAGTGTTTTGAATGAATTTTTGCTTTTATAATTAGATTATAAATATCTGCCCATGCATATGGGTGCACGCATGAGTGTGTCTGCATGTTTATGATTTTTGAGAAATACATTTATTCCAAGAAAAACACCAATTGTAAGGAATTTTGAATAAAATGCATCCAGCGGTATTAATTTAGATACTTCTAGAAGCTGATATATTCAATAGTTCTACTATATTTATGGTCATTGTTTTAGGTAATGATACTAGTGTTTCCCTTGATTTGATATTATTAGGGAATTGAGGCAATTCGATGCATGTCTTTGGATGGGAGTAAGATAAAAAGGACTACGTTGAGGGCTAGTCATTTTCGAAAGATGTATGATTTAATAGTCCTCAAAGTTTTTAAATCTAATCAGAAAGAGCTTTCAAAGCTGAATATTTGCAGAGATTTGAATTATCTTCCAGAAAAATTAAAGTTTCTTAATTGGGAAGAATATCCACCGGCATGTGTGCCATTACAACTTTGTGCTGAAAATCTTATTAAACTTGAATTGTCTAAGAGTAATATTCAACAGTTTTGGGACGGAAATCAGGTTACATATATTTTCTCTCATGTCATAATTTTTCTGATTTATTTAACACTAATTGTTTTTTCAGCATTTTCCAAATCTAAAGCACATCAATCTGTCGGATTCAAACATCTCGGTGCACTCCCGGATCCGTCTCATCCCTTGAGATTGAAAATATGTATCTTGATGGTTGTGTGACTTTGGGTCAAATCCATTTTTTAACCGTCATCGAAAAGGATTTCTATTTATTCATAAGAGATACTGGGCCAGTGCAGATAAACATTGGGGCCAGTGTTAAAGGGGCAAGTTCAGGGTTAGTGATTACTGACTTTAGACTTGTTGTGACGGTGAGGGGTGATAGAGGATTCAGCCTCTGTTAGGTGTAAAAGTCTCTTCAATATCCGCTTTACGTGATCATTCTTTCTCTGCCTTTTATAGCTACTTGGAGATGACGCCACAAGATGCTCATTATTTTCGGTTCAGCAATGAATTCTTTTAATTATTACTGGTCAAATAATTTTTCTGATAATGATTTCTTTGTTCTATTTGCAGAGATCTAGAGATATTAGTTATTATTTAAATTTCTCAGGTCAAAAACTTATTATTTAAACCAGTCTCATTTATTTTTTTTATTGTATATTAATATTACGTTTTTATGAATTTTTTTTTTTGCTTTTTATAAGTAAATCACGGAGGGCCCCCTCATAACAATATAAAATAAATTTTGTATGGCTTTATAATAACTGCTCTATTGTCATTCCCCTGATTGGCTTTGAGCTATGGCCATGGATGCATTGTCTCCACCGCCCTTTGTTTTTGGGACTGATATTTTGTCTTCTGGTATCTTAACTGCGTACCAAAAAATTTGGAAGAGTTCTCATAGTTTAATTTGTTATGTGTATTCATTTTCCGAGTGTAATTTTAATTTATAGAAATTTATGGACCTTGTAAAATATTTCCTTTTATTTAACACCTATTTAATACTCGTACATTTCTATAATAAAAGTTCATAAAATCTATAAATTAAAATTATGTGAACAATAATAATTTAAAATTCATCAAATCGCACAATCCAAGTAGGAAGAAGCCTTCAAACAAAAGTGAGCCCCCCCCCCCGGGGGAATGTATCAATATGGATTCTCTTTCTTTAAGGTTTTGCGTAAAGAATCTTGTGCATGTTATAGTGCCACAGCCATCTTCGACAACTTTGGAATGGAAATCAAAGTGCTTTGCTTTCTATGTTTAAAGATGATAATGAGTTATCCTTTTTTCTTTTTCCTCGGGGGATTATATTTAAGCACCTGTTTTAGCTTTGCTGCATGTTCATAGGCACGTCTTTGTTTCGCCTTTTATGCCAAAATATCACTCTCTAGTGTATCTAACCAGCGACTTTTTCAATACCCCATAGGATACTCATGCCCGAGCTCTGACTCTTAGTGGCGTTATTCAATAGCTTCTGCTCATCATAAAGGATGCTTATACTTTAGTTCGATTCTCCCCGGCTGACTTTGAATTATGAGGTCGACGTTGTAAGGTGTGTTTTTGCATGTATTTTTTTTTCCTGCTCTTAGTTTTTGGATTTATTGGTAATTGCTTTGTTTGTCATATTCTCGGCTAGCCTTCTCCTTTCAGTTCATTTGAGATTTGCTCAAATTGACCGAATGTGACTGACCGGTTTTTTTTATATAATCATTTTACTCATGGTGAATAAAAATTGTCTTTTCATACCAAAAAAACCACCTGTCTCCGTCGTATATAATTCTCCTATTTTTCTGTCATTAGCAAACTTGAAGATTAAAATGTTTGGCAATCTAATTTACTTAACAATGCTCTTTTATTTCAGCAATTTTCAAATTTAAAGAAAATTATTCTATGTCAGTCCGTCCAAACATCCCATCGCACGTTAGCCCCAAACCTTGAAAGCTTAGGTGTAGATTCAACAATAGTGAGACATAACTTGATCACGCAACTATTCAAATTACTTCAATCACTTTGTTCTTGTCTGTGTGTGTTTATAAATATGTGTGTAATTTTCTAGAGACAGTAGAGGATCGAATTCAAGTTTGTTATTGATGGCTTTTACTCTTGTGCGCTTGTTTTCGCTGGTAAATAATATTTTTCTTGAAAAATGAATTTAAAAAATTTCAAGAATTGTGGGCCATACTATCCTAACTTTTTGCCCCTAAAAGTCGTGTGAGAGCGCAGGACAAATGAAACAACACGGCAACACGTCGATACATAAAACGACAATGAAGTGACAATAACCCTTAAAACCGGGGACGAGTTGACTTGTTGACCCCAAAAACATATTTGGTAGTCAATAAAAAAGTAGTAGTTCCTTAAATTTTTTTTCTTGAGATAGAGAGAGAACCTCAAAGTGTGGTATAAACTACAAATTTATGATAGTTATTCCCCTTGAAAACCCACTTCCATAAATTATATTTCTTTTATTAATAAAGGTGTAGATTTTTTTAAACAAATTTAATAGTATAATAATTTTTTTAAGATTTATGAAAATATAACAAACACTCTACATCATAAAAGTGGTTCGGTGCTGTGTTTATTATTAAATTTTATTTCATCAGGATAAATTCTATCTTTGGGATGAAAATCATTATAGCCAAAACCCCAACAAGAGCCAAGTTTCATAAGAGTTAAGGTATTTTTTTTCCTTATTCTCACTACTTATTTCTAATTGCTTTGGCTAGCCCAACTTGGTTTGGCGAATTACGCCAATAAATCAACAAACCAATTTTTTGGCCATTATAGTTAAAAATTTTGGATCGATTAAGCTAGAAGATTATAAATATATATTTCTATTATTAAATTTAAAACCACGTCGTTTTGAGTTAAAAAATAGAAATTGATCATATTTATGCTTTATTGAATTTTTTTTGTTGAATTATGTATGCTTTATATATGAATATTCTAATTACTTGCAAATTAATGTTCTTTTATTTAAATATTATTTATTTCTCTTTTTTTTACCAGAAAATATTATTTATTTCAAAGTTGTATACATAAGTATTTTTATATATTTTTAATTAAATTATATTATTTTAATTGAGTGGGCCGATTTCATGTTGATCTCAGTTCGAATCAATATATTTGCCTTTTGCCTTCTCATGTATTTGAACTTTGAAGTATTTTTTTTGAAAAAAGAGACACAAAATGCCCAAATATTCAATGAAGTATTCGTTGACCCGAAGGCAGGTGTGATAGCGGAGGTAAGGGGTAAAGAATTCGAAAAAGTAATTAAAATCCATTTTCATTAAAAATATATGCCTAAAAATAGCTAATTCATTTTTTCAATTAAAAAACATATACTACCTCAGTTTTTTTTTTTATAGAGAAATTTTAGGAAAAGGTTTGGGCTAACTCACGACCCAAGGGTAAGGCACGTAACGCTTGATCTACTAGGGCTTGTCCCTACGGGCATGGAAGCATAACAAGCAAGCCTTTTTTTTTTTTTGGCCTGATAGGTGGGAATCTCCCAACTTTACTATGTTGTAGTGATGGCTCCCCTAACGCTGCGACTAGAGTTACAACAAAGTGGCACTCCTCAGGATCGAATCCTCTCCTTTTGGTGAGAGAGTCCGACCCCTTCGTCAGCTTTTAATATAATATTTCAATGTATTTTATTTCTCAAATTTATAATTTTTTTTTATAATGATACATATTAAGAGAATTTTCTATCACTTAAGTAATATCCTATGCAAATGACAAATAAGTCATTTAGATAAACAACATATTCTTCTATAAAAAAAATAACTTATATAATTTTTTTAAATATTTATAAATTTAGTTTTGGTTAATATGATTTTTTATTCTTAAAATTTGAGTCCATTTTAATTTTAGCCCCTCAAATTTCAATTCTATGATTTAAGTCCTTGAAATTTACGCTATCTTAAAACGTTAGTCCTAAAATGTGTAACATTGCTAAAATTTCTTCTGATCGTTATACACAGTGTTAAAGTGATGATATGAAATCACCAAATAACATCTAACTGGATTTTGTATGGATAAAAGGAAAAAAAAAAAAAAGGGCAGAACAGGTCCTCAAAATGTAATACAAAGAATGATTGTATAGAAAGAGATGAGTTCTCAAAATGCAGCGTAGTGAGCAATTCTTCAAACAAACGACGAGGGAAAAAAGAGACCGAACAACTGTGTTTTGAAAAAATATTTTTTTTTTTAATCCTTTATTCCTACACAATTCAGATAGGTGTTATCTAGTGAGTCCACATCACCACTTTAATGCTATATACGACAATTTTGCAAATTGTAAACATCATTATATTTCTTGCAACTAATTAAAATCATGTATTTAAAATTTACGAGATCTAAGGTAAAATTATGTATTATATTAGCCCATTTAATTTTTATATTAAAAATTCAAGGGAATAATTTTTATGAACATTTTGTAAAGCTGTTCAAGTCATACGATTAAGCAGCCATGCAACACAGCAACACCATCGACATGTGAGAGCTTCCCGGAAACTGGAAAAAGAGCCTCTGAAACAGAGATAAATACATGCGAGTGAGGCATTTGATGATCTCTGAATCTGAACCGAAGAGCTTGTTTCAAGAGTTTGCAAGTTCTGAAGCTGCCATTTTGTGAGAGCTATTTTTTTTGCTTCCCTCCACATCCATCCAGGTTCATTTCTTCTCTGTTTTTTTTTTTGGTGACAACATTTCTTCTCTTTTACTCGCTTTATCCAATGGATCCATTATCCTCCTACTGTTTCCCTACATTTCCCCCTGGAATTTCCGTAGAAAAATTCTGCAAAAGATTTCTGTTTTCTTCTCCTAGTGCTAGCTGTTGATTGATTCTTCTCTATAGCTGCTTTACAGTCGTAGATCTATTGACCAAAGTCTTCACTTATTTTATTCAATTTTTTTTCAAATGAAGTAAACAGTTGATTTATTTATTATATTATAAAATTAAAAGCAAAGTGCTTGTTCTTTCTTTCATCTTAATCACTCCCTATTTCGTTGTTATGCTTATAGATATAAACCAACAATGCATATTCTCTTTTTTTCATGATCCACTTGCTTGATCCCACCCATCTCCAATTTTACCAGTATTTTCCCTAGTGTCTGTGTTAATCCTTAAAAACTTCATTATATTCAATTATTAATTATTCGTTAAATTTGTCTGAAGAACTTGATTGAAGAGGAGGACGTCTGCAAATTAAGCTCGAAACTAACATGTTTTAGACCTTGTGAGCTAATTAAGCTGACATCCACCAGGTTAATACTATCCATTAATTCTTTTCTTTTTCTCTTCCACTTGCTTCATCCTATTAAAATATACTGTTTTGCAAACACTTCCCTAAAATTTTTAGTGTTTTCTTCTCACGGGACAAATTCTTCAAAAAAAATTGTTTATTTCTTCTTTCTTCTAGTGTTGATAATCTCGTCCCTAGCTACCTTGCTGAAGGTTGAAGCTAGAGACTGCTATCACAACCATTGCTTCAATGCTCCAAAAGGCTTTATTGATCCTATTGGGAGTATCAATTTCCAAAGCTATCAGACTCATCTCTCATTCGCGTAATAGTAACCAACCTGTTGCTATTGCTACTAGGAAGCTAGCTTTTTCTAAATAACCTCACACTCTTTATTTTCTTGTTTGATTTGCTCCTACATATAATTTGCTCACGATTTGTTTCCATCTGTAGTTCTGAAGATGATGTTATATTGACTCAAACGGATTCTCCTCCTGCTACCAAGTATGATGTGTTCCTTAGATTTGGAGGAGAAGACACTCGCCAAAATTTTGCCAAAGAAAGGAGAGAGACCGGAAGGAGTGCTTTTCAAAGAAGGTAGCCAATACATTTCGGTTATTTCCACAGGAACACAACTGAAGTGTCCAACTTTCATTTTCAGAGTGCAACTCCAAGTTTCTCAGACTCCACCTTGAGAGACTTGAGATATCTCACAGCTTCAGCTAAAACACTGACAGAACCCATTTGGTCACCACCTCCAGGCACGATCTCTCTCAGTACCCTAATCATTCTCTTCATTCCCCAGTGCTTAATTTCAGGGTTGCTGCAGTGACTATGGATCCTAGAAGACTTTCGAACAGATGACAACGACCTCTTCTTTGATTTTGAGCCATAACTGGAGCAAGTGCACTTTAGCCTGCACCTTGCGACCGGTTCTATTGGCCTTTTGCTTGATCTTTGTAAATGGCTCATATTTTATAGCTTTTTGATTGATCTATAAATTACTCCATTAGACTGATCGATTGTATTGCATAAAAATCTCGGTTGGGCATATATAGCCGTTTAGTGAGAAGCTAACAGAAATATGACACATGATAAGTAGACTTCAACATCAACTACCTTTCATTCATCTATATATAACCTTGAAATTTTGTCTGCAGATATAAAGTCTTTGTTCAACCTTTGCTCATCATTTCAATGTAGTAAAATGCTTCTTATTTAATCACATCTGAAATTTTTTGTGATACATATTTTTCCTTATTATACTCAATCTTTAGAAGAACGTAAAGATGATGCATTATGTGGAGAGAAATAGAATATGAGCAACTTTTTTGTCAAAAATTAAAAATCATGTTAACATTCAAATGTGATTCTATCAAAATTAACATTCTTGTGCTTAGCCCACTTTCATTTGATCATGGTGAAAATATAATCAATGAAAAGGTTGTTTTCAAGCGTTGAATGCTCTTCTTGACCTGTTACCTCCAATAGGCACATTTGCACGATGTCTCATGATCTGCCATTAATTAGATGATGATGTGGACAGTTAATCAAATGCCTTTCATTGATTCACTTTGATGTTGAATGTTCGCACTGCAAGTGCATAGGTCGTCACAAGTAATAAAGTGATGAGTAGAGTATCGTTCCCACAAGAATTTGGTTATAAAACCCGGTCAAGTATTGATTATCACGCTTTCACCTAATTTGAGTTACACAAATATATCAAGAGTGAGGGAAAACTATTTCCAAAATTAGAAATTAATAAAAAGAAAAAGAAAAAGTGATTCTTCAACTTTGAGGACAAAATGGATCCTAGGATTATTTATCCCCCTTGTATTTCAAAAGTACTCAATTAAATCTCCATCATACACTTGCTTCTTAATTATAGATTAAGCTAGCCAAGGACACTAAATTACCTACAAGTGCTCTCCCAAGTCTCCAAATAGGTGTTTAGCTCAATTAGTTCATTAATCTCTCAATTTATTAATTAAGCCCCAATTTTCATTACGAACCTTATATGACTATATGAGGTTAATGAGTATATCCCTATCTCATTAACAAAACCATCCATTCAACTTGCAAACTTCAAGTTCTCACACAATTTTACCCAAGTTCTACGCTCAACCTAGCCCTCTCAAGCATCAATCAAGTGAACCCAACAATCTCATTGATGGCCAATCAACAAGAAGCATTAAGCATAGAGTAAAATAAACAGAATCATATAATTAATCACAAATATAAAGGGAAAATGAGTACTTAATCCATACAAGGGTTCAAAATAATCCTAGAATAGAAGCTTAGCTACTCATGTTCAAAAAACAACTATAACTACAATGAACAACTACAACCATATCAGAAAAATGAAGAGGAAAGAGGAAGGAGACAGCAAAACCAAAGAAAATGGGCTTGAATCTCTTCAAATCTTCAAATCTTGGCTTCCATAGCTGCAAATATCTCAAACCCTAGCAGAGCAACCTCCCAAAATGAGCCTCAAGAGGTGAAGAATGGTAAAAAAACGGCGCATCCCTTGAATTGTATAGCATATGGAGCCCTGAACATATGCTATCTTCAAAACGCAGAGCATCAGTAATTCTGCGTTAGCTGCAGCCAAGATTTCTCTTGGCTGCGGCCAATTCATTTTTGTCCCGATCTTGGCTGGAGCCAATATTTTCCTTGGCTGCAGGCAATTGCTCTTTGGAATACTGTTGGCTGAGGCCAATAATGCTTTGTTTTGCATCTCTTCTTTTCTTGATTTTTTTCAATGTGTCATGGCTTCCTATGCATCTTTCCAACTTCATGGGATTAATATCTGATTCAAATGGCTCCCTTAGTAAGCTTCAACCACCTAACAAAGCAAGAAAAACTATTAAAACCAATTTGATGAACCAGGGGCAAAATATTCACAAGTAACCAAAAAATCATAATTTTAGCCCAAGTATCAACTATGCACATTTTCCTATCCTAAATACTTTCAACTATGCATTAATGCACCAAAAAAATATGATAACTAAGGGAAAAGGTGCTGAAATAACATGAATTTCACAAGGTTAACATTGAAATACAAATTTAAGGCTTTTGGGGCTTTTAAGTATGCTTTCAATGCACTTGCTAGCTGGGATGAATGTAAGGGAGTATATGCCATTGAAACCATGGAATCAAATAGAGTATTGTTGTGCCATGTTTTGAATCAATGAATGTGTATATTTATAACTTATAATTTATAAATATAAGTACAGATGAAGTGAGAGTGCTAACTGCTCGAAATTAAAAATTATATATCCAATTCTTATGAATGCTATGAAACATAATTTTTGCATTCTGTCTTTCAACATAGAAGAAACCACATAAATAATAACAATGTCATCTTCATTGTTTGTGAAGTCCTGCAATTGTATAGTAACTGTAAGGATCAACTTAACAAAGCGTGCTCTCATTGTCAGATATCTCCTCTCCTCTTAAAGTCATCTCAGACTGTGAGCTTTTATCTTTTGCTCAGAAAATCAGAGAATCATATGTTTACAATTTATGATAAGATATGCCAGTTGCACAAAAGTACTAATTCACGCTATAAAAGCAAAATTAGGACATCCATACCTTTAATGGAAGCTTATAATACTGATGAGTTGCCGGCCTTCCCTTTAGTTTTATATGATGCCCATTTGATTTTTTGCTTCTGAAAAGGTTCAAAAACAAGTCTGAAACTGTACAAAATGCTTAGGTCAACCCAAAAACAGTATGCAACAAGGTTACCTTGGTTGGCTTTACTTCACTGGTTTGAAGTCCCCTTAGCAAGTTTTTTTCTTTTTGTTGATAGTCTATTCTATTTGTAAATAACAAATAATGTTGTCGTCATTTTTGTTGGGTTGCATTTTTTCATTCTCATCCCTTTGCAGTTCCCTTCTTTCCATGGTGAATCAAAAGCTTGGATAGATGAAAGATGAGCATGTAAGGATAGATGTTGCCAGGGGATTCACTAAAGCCACTTATTTAAAGTTTTTATGAAGTTAACTAATAGCGAACATTATAGATAACCTTAAAATTTTGCTTGCAGATATAATGTCTTTGTTCTCCATATTTGATTGCATTATCAAGAAAAGCTTATAACCAGAGGAATTCTAAAGACAGCTAATTATGCCCAGGTCAAAAAAAAAAAAAGATAGCTGATTATGCAGTATAATGAATAGAAAATTATATTACTTTCAATTTGCACTATGCAGACAAAGACATCTTATTTTCGTACTTAAAACAGTTATGAGATGTCCTTAGCTGTTGGATCTTGTCCTATTTTGCTTCCTTTGGTTGTGTCATAGGTTTGATTAGATTGTTAGCTGTAATTTTGCCGAGCTGTCAAAACTTTCTGGCACAAATGGAACTTATTTTGATGCTTCTATGAAAGGATTGTAGTACCAAAAAGTGATGTAGTGGAGGTTACAAGAAAGTAGTATTACTGATCGATGTTTTATTTGCTTTTAGTTGAGCCATACAATTTGAATTGATAGGGAAGGTTTCTTAAGACCATGCCTCATATGGCAATAGAAATTGAAACTAACAGTATTAAAATCTGTTCCCCAACTTTCTGGTACTTTTTTCCTTCCTCTTGAAGCTTGGTAGATCTTTAATTGTTTTGTCATTTTTTCTACCATAATAAACAAGGGTGTGGTTCAGTTCTTTCTACCTATATGAAGTCAAATCCCTAGGAAATGTTTTATCAGGTATAGAGGGTGTTACAAAGATTATCTCCCTGTCAGGATTCATTGTTAAGCTTTATGAGTTTTTTTTTTTAAAAAGAAAAACTTATCAGTTTATGGCTTTTGTGAAGTGGGGTTTAGATTAGTAATGAAGACATCTTTAGTGCTTTGTTGTTTAATGCCTCCTTGTGCAATCTCAATCCAAATATCTTTGTATTGTCCATCTGCTTAATGTGTGGTTATTATATGTTATTATTCCATAACTAAGAAGCAGAAAATGAGAAGTAAACAGCTATAATTTATCAACTCCTCAAACATGAATGGCAATGTTTTTTCAGTCATCACTCGAAAATATTGGTTTAAATATATATCATTATCACCAATAAAAATATGAAGTAAAGCTCACATATCGTCCAAATGAAACATGAATTTCCCTATTTTAAAACAGATGGCAAAGGTATTTATTAAGCATACAATTGTATTTCAGGTTTTTTTTTTAACATCAAAATTCTATTGTAAACAATTTTTTAAGGAAAAAAACGTACGCACTGTTACAATGTCTAAATGTGTTGGAACATTGAAACGGCAGAGGAGTGTTTTAGGAAATTTTAAACCTATAGTTTGAAGGTCTATTGCTGCCGTAAGTATTGTTATGGAATCTCCCTATTTCACGTAAGGTGCTTTTTTCTATTCAGATTGCTAGGCCCATACAAAGTAAATGCTTTTTCAGAAATATGAAGTATGAAATGAGATATATGAAATGTGCTGGGCTGCGTTAAAACATAATGAAGGATTCTCAATTGTGGACGACAAATAAGGGAAAATGGGGAGAAAATCTACTGAATGTATATATATTTAATAATCACTGTTCGGTCAAAGGCTGCTGCAGAAAAAAATTACAGCGATGAAGAAGAATTCAGAGAGAAGGGAAGAAGCTATTCAAAGAGGAGAGAAGAAAATTTCCATAGAAAGAGGAGAGTCATAGCAAGATTCATCGATACTCAATTCATAACTTCTCTTTATATAGCCATTATCCTGAGTCTATTTCTTTGGTACAATTATCCTTCAAATCTTGATTCCTTCCATTACTTCCGGCCCAAACTTTTTGCCCCATTATTTGCAAGCTGCGGTCCATTTCCGTATCATTACAGAAAGCACCAGAATCCTAGAATACAGGCTAAAACTAATAAAGAAGGCATGCTAATTTTTTTTTTTTGTTTGGGGAGAAAAGGCATGCAAATATCTGACATAAAGATTAATGGAGGGTAATCTTAGGCAAACTTATGCTTGATGGCTTAATGGAAGTTTACGCTAGATAATTATGTTTTTAGAGACCCTTGTATTCTTTCATATAGTTGTAATATAACGTAATTTGAAACAACAAAGAAACCCATATACTATACTTTTCCTTTAAGATGGGGCTAATTTTAAAAGATTTTAACTATAATTATGTCATAATTATTTTCTTCATTTTAATAAAAATATTATAACTCTTGGTTTATAAGCTCCCCAAAAAACACCAAAACAGCGTCGCTTTTAACTCTGGATTCTGGCGTGGGAGAAAAAGTAACCCGTGTGGCCCGTCAAACCCATCGGGTTGAACGGGTTATACCCGGTTAATGTCAGGCTAACATAGTTGATCGTTTCCTGGTCTGATTACTTAACCGTCCGATCCTAACTAAATAATCTCTTGTAATTAATGAACTCCAGTTAACTAAATAATCTCCCGTTATTAGGGGAAGGAAACTATGCCATGGCGTATTATCTTTTTTAATAATCCACTTGCTTCATCCCACCGACCTCCAGTTTTACTGGCATTTTCCTGGAAATTTTTATACTTTTGTTTACTGAAAAATTCTGCTAGTTTCTTCTTGTAGTTTAGTGTTGGTCAAAACTCAAGACAACCTGATGCTATGGGGAATATTTTTGGAGGCTACGGTATTGTGCGTATAGAGAACGCAATCTCTACTACAATACAACAGCAAAAGCCTTGAAATTTCCCTGTGAAAGGGAAGAAAAAAAGAGAAATTAAAGCCCGACAACCATTAACACTAAATACACCTTCAACACGAGTAGTTTTATTCACTATAACTTGTTTTAAAATAAATCAAGTTGTTAATAGAAAACATCAAATAAATAAGTCGTTGGTTGGACTTGACTAACTGTCGTTGACCATTCGCAACTTCGTCCCACTTTCGGAATATTTTTGTTTGATCTCTTTATCACGTTAATCAAGAACCAAAACCATATCATTTCTCAGTAATGCTGAAAAATTAGGACTTAGTTTCAGGTTGCTGAAAGTGAAAGCTGAAGGTTGAAGCAAGAAACTACAATCACATGGATGCAGCCATTGCTTTAATGCTCATAGAAGCTGTATTGATTTTGTTGGCCATAGCAATTTCTAAAGCTATCAGATTAATCTCTCCACATGATGATGGGTAACATCTTTTATAAATGGTCCCCTGCTCTTCATATTCTGGTTCGGTTTGCTGATAGCCTAATATTTATTTATGATTTCTTTCCATTGTAGTTGTAAAGATGTTGTTGATACGATTCCCACGGGGTCTTTTCATGCCATTGTTGCTCCTCCTGCTACCCGGTATGATGTCTTTCTTAGCTTTAGAGGGGAAGACACTTGTGACGCTTTCTCAAGTTATCTATATGAAAACATTCAAACTTTTATGGATCACACGCTCCACAAAGGAGAGCATATCTCACCACTTCTTTTGAAAACAATAGAGGAATCAGAGATATCTGTTGTTATTTTCTCCAAAGATTATGCTTCTTCAATATGGTGTATGGATGAGGTTGTTCATATTATCAAATGTAAGGATAAATACCAAAGGCTCGACATCCCTATTTTCTACCACGTAGATCCATCAAATATTCGCAAACAAAATGCAAGTTTTGGAGATGGATTTGCTAAGCTGAAACAGAGATTTAAGCACAAACAAGTAAAAGTGCAGGAGTGGAAAACTGCTTTGATCCAATCAACAAATCTCTCTGGGTGGGATTCAAAGAATATCAGGTAGGTTCTACTCATTCTTCACTTATATTTTTCTTTCTTTGGGCATTTAACATAATCATGCTTTTAATTTATATTTGTGCTAGGCCTGAATCCAAACTTATTAAAAAGATTGTCAAAGATATTTTGAGCAAATTGAACAGCAAGTCATCCTTTCATTTTGAAGGATTAGTTGGGATTGATCATCACATTCTGAAAAATAAAGAGCTATTAAGTGAAGCTTGCATTGTGGGAATATGGTGTATGGGTGGTATAGGTAAGACAACTCTTGCTAGAGCTGTATTTCATAAGCTGAAAGCACAGTTTGAAGCTCTCTCCTTTGTTAAAAATGTGAGAGAACAACTAGCAAGAATGGGATTGGATGAATTAGAGGAAAAATTCCTTAAAGAATTATTAAAAGATGAGGATATTAACACTTACAATTTGAAATCCACTTTTGTGAAAATAGGCTTCACCGTAAAAAAATTCTTTTGATACTTGATGATGTGGAGAATTCTATAGCAACTGAAGATTTAATCAAAGCATGTGATTGGTTTGGGGAAGGAAGTAGAATTATGATAACATCAAGAGACATGCAAGTGCTTAAGAATACTTCTGCATCTACCACATATCATATTCTGGAATTGGATTGCCATCATGCCCTTCATCTCTTTAGTTTGAAAGGTTTTAAGAAAAATGATCCGTCAAAAAGCTATGTGGAGTTATCAAAGTGGATAGTGGATATTTGTCGAGGAAATCCATTAGCCCTAATAGTGCTGGGTTGCTTTATTCATGGTAGAGGAAAGTGCTTTGGAAAAATTAAATCGAAGTCTTCACAGGGACTTTTTTAATGTATTGAAATTCAGTTTTGATGGACTTGATGACACACAAAAGAACATATTTCTTGACCTAGCATTTTTCTTGAATGAGGCATGGAGTTTCTCTAGATTGTACAAGACGCTTATATGGTTCTTCTGCATGTATTGAGATAAGTGTACTTAAAGAGAGATCCCTCATTGCAGTGCATGAAAATAGTTATATTGAAATGCACGGTCTTCTAATGGACTTGGGGCTTGAGATTTCTAGGCAACAATTCATATCTAACCGTGAAAGACCCATTCGGTTGTGGAGGCACGAGGATATTCATCATTTTTTCAACAATGACAAGGTATTAATTTATTTTTTGGTTAATATAATCTTTGGTCTCTCAAGTTTGCCCTCATCTTGGTTTTGATCCTTTAAGTTTTAAACTATAGGTTTTAGTCCTTTAAAGGGTAAAATAGTCCAAGTTTTATTAGATTATAGGGATTAATGTTTTAAATGAAATGAAACTTTAAAGACCAAAACCTATTGTTTGAAACTTGAGAGGCCAAAACCAAAATGATGAGAACAAACTTGAGGGACCAAAAATTGTATTAACCTTTTGTTTTTTATTATTTCTTTATTCTCTTGATTTTTTTTTCATTGTCCTTGCGAGTCAGCGTGTATTTGTTTATTGTAAGATTAAATGAATTGTTTGAATAAAGTGCACAAAGGCATATTCCTTCAGATTTTTCTAAAAGAAATATATTTGATTGTTCTATTTGTTATTTGATCACCTTTTACATGTTAATAATTTTGCCCGATAATATGATGACTAGGGGTCTGAGGCAATTCAATGCTTATCATTAGACATAAGCAAGATGAAAAGGACCACATTGACAAGTGGTGATTTTCAGAAGATGTATAATTTAAAATTCCTTAAATTATGCAAGTCACATAGGAAAAAGCCTTCGAAAGTGAATATTTGTGGAGATCTGGATTCTCTTCCTGAAGAATTGAAGTTCCTCTGTTGGGTTGATTGTCCTCTTCAATCTCTGCCATTAAGTTTTTGTGCGGAGAACCTAGTTCATCTTATAATGCCAAACAATCATCTCCAACAACCTTGGAATGGAGATCAAGTAAGTGCTTTGGTTTCCACGTTTAAAGATAATAATTAGTTTTTACTTTTCTTTCTGTGGTGTGAATTATGTCTAACAATGCTCCTTCTTTTCAGCAATTTCCAAATTTAAAGAAGATTGATCTAAGTCACTCCAAACATCTCATGGCACTTCCTGATCTATCTGGGGCCCCAAATATTGAAACGTTAGGCGTAGATGTTTGTGTCAATTTGGATCAAATCCATTCTTCAACTGTCCTGGGCAAGCTTACCAACTTGACTCTTGAGTCTTGCGAAAGGTCACGGCACATGAACTTTGGTGGCTCTGAAAATGGGAGAAGAAATTCTGGGTTAGTGACTGTCAACAATTTTTTTGATCTCAACGACTTCTCATTCACTAAAGTGACAATGAAGCTCTTGGTATCTGATGATGGCAATATTATCACTGGTTTTCAATTTAAACTTTTGTTAATGCCATTCGAAGAGATGTTGGAGTACAAGGACTATATTGAGAGTATGATGTTAATATTATGGACACAAGGTTTGGCATGTTCACTTCCCTTTGTCAGGGTTCTTCATTGGTCAGAGACTCCAATTGAGTCTGGTAATTTCAAGCAACATTTTGACTGTGATCATTATTATGATTCCTACTTCTTTGGTGAGAGGATCCAAATGAAAATGAAAAGTGGGGGAGTGAAAAAGATAGCACAAAGCGGAGTAAGCGATGTTGTGGTTGATGAATATGATGAAGAAGAAGAAGAAGATGATGATGATGAATGTTGCAGCAACGATGATGTGAATAATACCTTAACAAGAGTTCTAAACGACGTCACTCGCTGGTCATTGTTGACACAAGTGTCATTAAAGAAGAGTGATATTATTGGAAGTGCAGGTTGGAGCATTCCTGAAGTTTGGATTTTGAGGTCACTTGCAGGATTTGAACGCTGTGAAGGGCTTCAAACTCTGAAGGATATAACACTGTTTGGATGTTCCAACCAGAGATTGGTGTGGCCGTGACTTTTGTGTCTCCTATGTTCATTCCCCTGAATGGCTTAGAGCCACGGTCATGGATGCATTGTCTCTGGCACTCTTTGTGTTTGGGACTGATATTGTCTTTTGATATCTTCCGTGCGTACCAAAAAAAATGTAATCTTTCAGATACAGTATAGGATTCCAAGTTTCTGGTGTGAAAATCAAGTTTATCTGGGGTGAGCAAACACTATGGGCAAAACATTTCTTTTAGAACGCTTTATCATGGGCCAACTTAACTCGTCATTGTTGCAATGCGTAAGAAATTGCAGAAGAAACTTGACTTCCGGGCAATTGTCATGCGAGTCTCAATGTTTTGATTGTGTTTCACAACACACATTCAGATGAACAACTATTAATCATGTATAGTTTTAAAAATTTTTAAAAGAAGAAATAAGAATAAAAATTGAGTTAGTGATGCAGATCAGGAAACGTGTCCTCTGCCATGGGCACTTTGCTTCTCTGTAGCATGCTATCAAGGAAGTTTTGGGGGAAGAGAAATGCTCTCCAGCAAAACAAGCGCAAATCATTCCCAGAAATGCAAAGCTTCTAATTAGTCAATACTGAGAAAATCATCATAGACACAATCCAAACAAAAACCAAGTTTCATGAGAGTGATTAAAGTATCCTTTAGTTCCCACTTCTTCTCTCTAATTGCTTTTACTTATGCATGGAAACCCAACTCAATTTGACTGATCAAACCAATAGACTAGTAATTAAACCTATTTTCGACCAATCTAGTTAGAAGTTTTGAACCGGTTAACCAACTTGGTTTTTAGATACGCACACTAAAATTATATTGTTTTAAGTTTAGCAGTCGGTCATATTTGTGCTCTCTTAACTTTTTGTGTGTGTGGTTAGATTATGTATAATTTATATATGAATATTCTAATTACATGCAAATTATGACTCTTTATGTATTTGAAGTACTTTTTTTTTTTTTTAAAGGCACACATCCAAACCAGCATATGCCCAATTAATGGTACACAATCAGCGGACCCACGAGAGGGTAATTTTTCAAAGCAAAAGGGCGGTGCAGTACAAAACTGCGAAATTTTCAACGAAGGCACCTGGCAATTCACAAAACTGACGAACACGGGATGACTTGACTACTTGACTCCAAAAGCAGGAATGACCGAACGATAGAGGAGGCAAGGGGCAGGAAGTTTCATAAAGTGAAACCCATTTTCATCAAAAGCTTTTAATATATATGCCTAAAAAAATAGCCAATTTATTTATTTTAAATGAAAACATATATTGATATTTTGAGATTCCGGGAGTGTTTTGATTAAACCTTTTAAAAATAATTAAAATAAATATGCAAAAATTTTTTATCTCGACTTGTATTAAAGTATTTTTTTTTCAAAGATTCTTAGAAGGTTACCAAATACCCCTTATAGCTAACACCAAATTTTAGACTTTTTATTTATATAAAAACTTACATGACACGTATGAAAACATATGAAAGATGAAAAACGTCGTACTCCTTATAATTTAATATCCATATAGAAAAATGATAAATAAAAATCCTTGAATATACGAAATGACGAAATAGGTTTCTGAATTAACATAACTGCTATCACAGATCAGGTTTTAAATTACAATTATGAAATAATGTAGAAAATACCAAAAAATCTTTCCTTTCTTCCTCTTTTTCTCCTCCTTCTCTGCAACTCCCTCAAGTGTAATTGTTGCCAAAAGCAAAAGGTCGGTACATAAAGCAACACGGCAGTGCACAGCAAGGGACGACTTGAGTGGTTGACTTGTTGACTTCAATGGCACGCGCGATGTGTGGGAAATAAGAAGGAGGGTGTGAAGTTTCCAAAAGTGGCATTTGCCTTTTTATTTCCTCAATTCTCTTTATGCTTAAATATTCTTCATTTTTCTATTTACTTGTGAAATGCCCATCCTTTTTCTATACTTGAATTGAGTTGGATTATACTGTCTTTAATATAAGAGTTAATTTAATTTTTAATTTGATTTTAAATATAATATCTCAATACATTTAGTCTCTTGCATACATTTAACTATTTTTTCAAGATAGTTATTATTTCATCAAATAATTTTTTGGCTAATTCACATAATTAACAAGAGTATTTTAACAAAAACACTTATTGATTATAAATAATTAATTTAATTAATTTTTTTAATATATTTAAATTAGCAATTAATTTTTATATCAAAGACGAGGTTAGTATATAATTATTCTATTATTGAGTTTAAAATTCTTCCAGCATGATACACAGTCCTCTAGGGCGTAACTTCTTACAAAAGCAAAGGGTTGGAGCAGGACAACAAATGTACGTTATACAATGAAATAACCCAGCAATTCACAAAACTCAAACGCGGGACGACTTGGCGTGGCTTGTTGACCCCAAAAGCAGGAATGATAGGGGAGGTAAGAGATAAGGAGTACCAAAAAAAATGATGCCTTGAAATAGCCAATCTGTTCCTTTACTCCAAAAGACACGCATTAATAACCTGAGATTTTAGCTGAGATCAAATTCATAATCTTTTACATAAACAAAAATCTTAATACCACTAAGTTATAAAGTTATTAAAAACGTTACGTGTGAAAAAGGATGTGAAAGATGAAAATAAAAACGTTATGTATGAAAAGGGATATGAAAGATGGAAAATTTCCATACTCTTTATAAGTTAAGACCCGTATCCTATTTTTTTTCCAGGAAAAAAAAGGTTCATGTCATTTTCGTTTTTATTTCCTCAATTCTTTTTGCTTTTCCGGTCAAAAAAATCGTCTTATGCTTAAATATGTTATTTAATTTTTTTATTCACCTATAGAAAACCCACCGTTTTCGATTTTAGAGCGTGCGATCTTCCCCTTGGTCTTTCAATGCATTTTCCAATGGAATTTTAACAGAGAAAACTTGAAAAATGAAATGGAAAATTTTTTTTCAAGCAAATACATTTTTCCAATTTTTTTTAAACGAAAAACATAGATACCTAATAAAAACCGAAACAAAATATAAATGTCAGCAAAATGGGTTTTTATTTTTAATCTTTGGTGAAAGACAAAACATATAAATATGAATTGCCTTCTCAGTATTACTCTTTTTCCCGAAAAAATCTCATCATTGTCATTCCTCATAATCTTTTGTTTTTTTAATAAAATCATTGCTCATAATCAATGACCTAGCTATTAGAGCCAGAGCCCCATATGCATGTCGGCCCCTTTTTATTTTTAAAGAAAATCATTTTACAGATGACTATACTATTTTAAATTTGTTATCTCTACAGTTTTTTTGCTCCTTATTTTTAAAAATTGAGAAAAATATGGATATATGTAAAATAATTTTCCTTGTTTTTGGGACTTATCAAGGAAGGAAAAAAAAGAAAAGAAAATTGAAGGGAATATGTAGGAAGAACCTTTTTGTAAAGCTGCTCAAGTCGTACGATGCAGCGGCAATGCAACGTGGAAACGCCATCGACAACTTCCCGGAAACTGCAAAAAGAGCCTCTGAAACACAGAGATAAATACATGTGAGGGAGGCACTTGGTGATATCTGAATCCGAACTGAAGAGCTTGTTTCAAGAGAAAGCAAGTCTGCAAGTTCTGAAGCTGCTATTTTGTGAGAGCTATTTCCCTTCACATCCATCCAGGTTCATTTCTTCTCTTTCATTTGCTTTGTCCCATGGATCCAATGCTCCTTCTACTGTTCTCCCTGCACTTTTTCCCGGAATTTTCGCAGAAAAATTCTGCAAAAGATTTTCTCTTTTCTTCTCCTAGTGCTGGCTGTTGATTGATTCTCCTCCATAGCTACCTTGCAGTTGTACATCTAATAAATCTTCAACATTTAGAATCCTTTATACCTTAACTTCTGAAAGATAAAAACCCCAAAACCTTTTAAGATGTGGGTGGACTTGATCTATAGATTAAAGTCTTCATCTATTTTATTCAAATCTTTTTAATGAAGTGAACGGCCCATTTATTTATTTTATAAAAAAGCAAAGAGCTTGTTCTTCCTTCACCTTAATCACTCCCCTTTTCGTTGTTACGTGTGAAAAAGGCATCGACATAAATGAACAGGGTGTATTCTGTTTTCTCATGATCCACTTGCTTGGTACGGTTTTGTTTTCCACAGAAAACAAACATATATTAATATATTAACACACGGCCTGATTCGCCTCCAACAGGTGTCCTTTTACTTACCATATATAGCTTCTTTAAGAATAAATTGAGTTGTTGATAAGACACATCAGATAAATCAGTGAAGTTTTTGGGTGCACTTGACTGGTAAGTTGACCACATGATGAATTCTTTCTTTTGCATTATTCCACCCATAGAGACAGGTTCTTCATTTTCGCATCAATCGTTCGGTAACTTGCTCCCACTTGCTAAATATTTTTGTTTGATGTTTTTATCACGTTAATCAAGAGCCAAACCATGGCACCTCCTGAGAAGTTAAAGCCAAAAAATATTACTTTATCACGTTAGTTTTGGGTTGGTGAAAAGTTTCAGGTCATAGCAAGAGATTACAGTCACATGGAGGCAACCTTTACTCTAACGCTCATAGAAGCTGTATTGATTTTGCTGGCTATAGCAATTTCTAAAGCTATCACATTAATCTCTCCACTTGATCATAGGTAACATGTTCTTTAAATGTTCACTTTATGGTTTGCTCATAGTCCAATATTTATTATTCATGATTTTTTTCTATCTCTAGTCGTAAAGATGCTGTTGATTCGATTCCCACGGTTTCTTGTCCTTCTCTTATCATTGGTGCTCCCCCTGCAATCAAGTATGACGTGTTTCTTAGCTTCAGAGGGGAAGACACTCGCCATACCTTTTCTAGTTATCTCTATGAAGCACTTGACCAAGTGGGCCTTCATACTTTTATGGATCACAAGCTCTATAAAGGAGATCATATCTCACTGATTCTTCTGAAAACAATAGAGAAATCAGAGATATCTTTGATCATTTTCTCTAAGGATTATGCTTCTTCAACATGGTGTATGGATGAGCTCGTTCACATTATGAAATGTAAAGATAAGTACGGAAGGCTTGTCGTCCCAATTTTCTACAACGTAGATCCATCAAATATTCGGAAACAGGATGGGAGATTTGGAGATGGATTTGCCAAGCTCAAGCAGAGATTTAAGCACGACCAAAAAAGAGTGCAGGATTGGAAAAATGCTTTGATCAAATCGGCAAGTCTATCTGGGTGGGATTCAGAGAATTTCAGGTAGCTTTTGTTCTACTCATGATGCTCTTATATTCTCTCTCTTAAATTTGGGCATTAAACATAACCATTATTTTAATTTGTATTTATGCTAGGCCTGAATTTGAACTTGTCAAAAAGATTGTCAAAGATGTTTTGAGCAAGCTAAATCGTAGGTCATCCTTTCATGTGGATGGATTAGTTGGGATTGATCGTCAGATTCAGGAAGTTGAAGAGCTACTGAGTAATGCTCGCATTGTGGGAATATGGGGTATGGGTGGTATAGGCAAGACCACTCTTGCTAGTGCTTTATTTGACAAGTTGAAAGCTGAGTTTGAAGCTTCCTATTTTGTTAAAGATGTAAGACAACTGCTGGAAAAGAATGGGTTGGAAGAATTACAGGAAAAATGCCTTAAAGCATTATTAAAGGATGAGGATATTAACACTTATAATTTGAGATCTGATTTTGTGAGAAGGAGGCTTCACCATAAAAAAATTCTTTTCGTACTTGATGATGTGGACGATTTTATGGCAACTGAAGATTTGATCAAAGCATGTGGTTGGTTTGGGGAAGGAAGTAAAATTATTATCACATCTAGAGACATGCAAGTGCTTAAGCATGCTTCTGCATTTCTAACATATCGTGTTCCAACAATGTATCCCCATGATGCTCTTCATCTCTTTAGTTTGAAAGCTTTTAAGCAAAATCGGCCGTTCAAAAACTACTTGGACTTATCACAGCGGGCAGTGTATTACTGTCATGGAAATCCTTTAGCTCTAAAAGTGCTGGGTTGCTTTCTTCATGGCAGAGAAAAAGAAGTATGGGAAAGTGCTCTGGCAAAACTAAATCATACTCTTCACAACGGCATTTTTAAAGTGTTGAAGTTGAGCTTTGATGGACTTGATGATCATCAGAAGAATGTATTTCTTGACCTAGCATTTTTTTCGAACGAACGGTGGATTTCTCTGAACTATGCAAGAGCCTCATATGCAAATATTGACATAGATGAACTTGAAAAGAGATCCCTCATTTCAGAGGATGGACATGGTAATATTGGGATGCATGCTCTATTAGTGGAGATGGGGCTTGAAATTTCTCGGCAACAATTAATATCTAACTCTGAAAAACCCATTCGAATTTGGAGACCCCAGGATATTTATCATTTCTTCAACAATGACAAGGTAATAATTTATTTTTCAAATTTTATTACATTCTTTATTCTCTTAATATTTCATTTCATTGCCATCATATTTTCATAAAAGTTATTAGTTTATTCTCTAAAATCTTAGGTAAGTCACAATGTCTGCGGAATCAGACTTTTTAATTTTTTTTAAAAAGTCATTTCTTCGAACTAAATTGGTTGGGGTCGTGTATAGTCTTTCTATTTGGTGTGATTCATTAATCTCAAACTTTGAAATATTCGTCTTCTTAAGTTTTTAGATAGAATATGATTAGTATGGTATAAGACATTTTTAAAATTTAGAGCATGAACGATCTTGAATAAATTATACAATTATCCACGAAGGTTGACATTCTTAATAAATTTAGAGCATGCATACTAACGCATTTTCTTGATAAAAATTTAATGTTGCGAAAAAGTACAAATTATGAAATTTGAACTTAAAATGAAATTTTTAAAAATTTTATATATGCCCTCGGAGGGTTTATATGCAGGAGTTTTTCTTTAAGAATAGTAGTTATATGAAGGGTTAATATAATTTTGGTCTTTTAAATTTGCATGAATTTTGGTTTTAATCTCTCGATTTTCAAACAATAGGTTTTGATTTTTCAAGTAGGAAAATGGTCCATGTTTTTGTTAAGTTATAGAAAGCAATGTTTTTGGCCAATTTATTTATTGCAAGATAAAATGAATTGTTTGAATAAAATGCATAAAAGAAATTTCTAAAAGAAATATATTTAATTGTTCTCTTGGTTATTTGATCACCTTTTACATATTACTAGGTTTTTTCCCCATAGTTTGATCAGCAGGCGGCTGAGGCAATTCAATGCTTATCATTAGACATCAGAAATAAGATAAAGAGGATTACATTAACAATTAAAAATTTTCAGAAAAGCTAGGACTTTTGTGACAAGTGTTATTTTAAAAGACAAAATTAGTCTACGAAGAATTTTCATTCAGTGATTAGTGATATATGCATACGCACATGTGAGCATAACTAGCTGTTATTTGAGGCACAATGTGCAAATCGAAAACAAATGACTTTTCACTTTTATAGTTATATTGTAAATATCTGCGCATGCATATAACTAGTTATACGCATTAGCGGATTTATGATTTTTTAGAAATTTATTTATTATGGGAAAAACATCAATTGTAAGGAATTTTGAATAAAATGTATATAGTGGTTTGGATATTTTTAAAAGTTGATATATTTAATTGTTCCATGGTATTTATGGTCATTTTTTCAGGTAATGGTAATTGTTTCCCTTGGTTTGATATTGTTACCAGGGGATTGAAGCAATTCGATGCATGTCATTGGATGCAAGCCAGGTCGAAAGCATGACATTGAGGGCTAGTCATTTTCAAAGGATGCATTATTTAATATCCCTTCAAGTTTACAAGTCAGATTGGGAAAAGCCTTCAAAGTTGAATATTGAAGAGTTGGATTATCTTTCAAAAGAATTAAGGTTTCTTAGTTGGCAAGAATATCCACTGCCATCTGTGCCATTACAATTTTGTGCTAAGAATCTCATTGAACTTAACATGCCTCGTAGCAATATCCAACAACTTTGTGATGGAAATCAGGTACGTATGCATCGTTTTTTCAAATGTATGTCATAATGTTTTTGTTGGTGTATGTGATTCTAAGACGTGGCATCAAACATTGACTAAAATAATTCACAATGCAATTGGTTAATTGTTTTTGTGTTGAGAATCTTATTGAACTTAATTTGCCAACGAGTAATATCCATCAGTTTTGGGATGGAGATAAGGTACGTATAGTTTCTCCTATGTCATAATTGTTTGTTCCTGTGATTCTAAAAAACATTGACTAAAATAATTCACAATGCAAATATTTACTCTACTACTATATTTCAATCGATGGTTGAGTAGTAATTGTACAATTTAGGGGGAGTCCAATTGTTGTTGTAATGGGCATGAGAAAAATTCTTGATTAAATTGTACGTATGTGGAGTTATCTAATTTATTTAACACTACTGCTTTGTTTTTTTCAGCAATTTCCAAATCTAAAGAAAATATATCTATGGAATTCAAAAAATCTCAGGGCACTCCCAGATTTGTCTCAAGTCCCGAACATTGAGCGGATGAGTCTTCATGGTTGTGTGAATTTAGATCAAATCCATTCTTCAACTGTCCTGGAAAAGGATGTTGATTTATATATAAGAGATTGTGGGCCAATGCAGATAAATGTTGGGGGCAGTATGCAAGGGAGAAGTTCATCAGGGTTAGTGATTGTGTACAATTATTTAGATCTTGCCGATTTGACATTCAATAAAGTGACAATGAAGGTGTTGGTATGTGGCAAGATGCAGTTTGGTGTTGGATTTAAGCATGTGAGAATGTCATTGGTAGAAACGGCAGAATTCTTGGGAATGGGAATACAAAGTTTGGCGACTTTACTTCCATTTGTCAGGAGAGTTGAATGGTTAGAAAGTCCAATTGAGTCTGGGCACGATTTCAACCAACATCATGTCTATCGTGTTGACCTTCTTGATTGTATTCCTCCCTACTATCATTACTTGAATCTTTTTGTAGAGGTGAGGGGTGATAGAGAAGAAAGGCGTGTGGAAGATGATGAAGAAGAGGATGAGGATGAGGATGATAGAGATGAATGATTAGTGAGAATGAAGGAGAAATAAGTAGTAAAGATGATCAAGTATTAGAGACGACATTATTTTTAATGGAAGATGAACAAGAAGGGGTCAATGAGGATGATAGTAAGAGGCACGATACATTATTAACAACACTTATTCCCAACAACATCCCTCGCTGGTCATTATTGAGGAGACTGAGATTAAAAGAGAGTGATATTATTGTTGGGAATAATGCAGGTTGCAGCAGCATTCCTCAAGCTTCAATATTCCACAAATCACTTATTGGAGATTGCAGAACGAGGATTCAGCCTGTCTTAGCTGTACAACTCTCTACCCTAGGACCCTCCTTACCTAATCATTCTTTCAAAGTCTTTTATGACTACGGGATGAGCAGGCCACTAAGTTGTGATTTTCTTTGTTTCCAAAGTAGCTGCAGGCAGCCATGGTCACTAACTAAAAAAAAAAAGGGTGGGTATGTCATTGATGTTGTCTTATGGGAATACTGCAGCTGATATTAATCATCATTTAAATTTCTCAGGGCATAACATTATCATTTGAATCAGTCTCATTTATCTTTTTATTGCATATTCACATCATGTTATTATGATATATTAATTTTTCCTTCTTTTTTTCATATGTAAATTCACGGAGGGCCTCCTCACAACTTTAGAACATAAAAAGTGTTACTCTTATTTTGGCTTCACAATAACTGCGCCCATTATGCGTGTTACTCTCCATGTGATGTGAATTTAATATTTGGCGTGACAAACAATTTCCATACTAAGCAATTTTATTATAAGAAAGTAGAATGATTACTTATGAATTAGCTCAACTTGTAAATGTTAAAATATTATAATATTTAAATAGTAAACTATATTAAAATGAAATATATTTGTTTGACCGGCCACTTTGCTTCTCTGTAGGATGCTATCAAGGAAGTTTTGGGGGAAGAGAAATGCTCTCCAGCAAAACAAGCGCAAATCATTCCCAGAAATGCAAAGCTTCTAATTAGTCAATATTGAGAAAATCATTATAGACACAATCCAAACAAAAACCAAGTTTCACAAGAGTAATTAAAGTATCCTTTAGTTCCCACTTCTTTCTAATTGCTTTTACTTATGCATGAAAACTCAACTCAATTTGACTGAGCAAACCAATAAACTAGTAATTAAATCTATTTTTGACCAATCTAGTTAAAAGTTTTGAACCGGTTAACCAACTTGGTTTTTAGATACGCACACTTAAATTATATTGTTTTAAGTTTAGCAGTCAGTCGTATTTGTGCACTCTTAACTTTCTTTTTGGTTAGATTATGTATAATTTATATATGAATATTCTAATTACATGCAAATTATGACTCTTTATGTATTTGAAGTTTTTTTTTTTTAAACGCACACATCCAAACCAGCATATGCTCAAATAATGGTACACAATAAGCAGACCCATGAGAGGGTAATTTTTCAAAGCAAAAGGGCGGTGCGGTACAAAACTGCGAAATATTCAATGAAGGCACCTGGCAATTTACAAAACCGAGGAACACGGGATGACTTGACTTGTTGACTCCAAAAGTGGGTAGGGGTGTTCAAGGCCGGCCTGTCCCGGTCGACCCGTTCCGGTCCCGGTCTTATTGGGACGGGATGGATCCGTCCCGAAATTTTTTGGGACGGGACAAACCGGGACGGGACAAAAAAGGGACCGGGACGGGACGGGACACGGGACAGGGTCGTCCCGTCCCGGTCCCGTCCCGGTTCTTTTTTTAAAAAAAAAATTAATTTTTTTAATTTTTATATAATATCATTTTTTTCATATTTTTTTAAGATTTAAGACTATTGTATGGAACTATGGATATATTTATTTAGAGTTTTTATATTTGTTAATGATTTGAGATTATTGATGATTAGAATTTTTAGCAAGTTTTTATTGTGTTAAAAGCTTTTGTTTAGAGTTTTTAATAACTATTATATGTAATATTTTGAGCTTTTGTTTAAGAGTGCCCAAACAAATAAAAAAGATGTTTTTATAAGATTTAAGCTCAAAAAAATATAATTAAAAAAATTAGATTTTTTTTAAAAAAATAAAAAAAAATAAAAAAAATTATTTCGGGACGGGCCGGGACACGGGACAGAAAATATGTCCCGTTACTGTTCATCGGGACGGAACCGGGACGGGTCTGTCCCGGTCCCGATCCGTCCCGTGAACACCCCTAAAAGTGGGTATGACCGAATGATAGAGGAGGTAAGGGGCAGGAAGTTTCATGAAGTGAAATCCATTTTCATCAAAAGCTTCTGGTATATATGCCAAAAAATAGCCCATTTATTTTTTAATTAAAAAAATATATTAATATTTTGAGATTGCGAGGGTGTATTGATTAAACCGTTTAAAA